TGAAAATTTTAGCATCTTTGTTATTTTATTAAAAATATCGAACTGCTCCGGAGACTTAATAGAACTTTTTACCGGCTGCCCCTGCAGGTATATAATCTGCAAATAAAAAGTTTAAACCGCCCAAAATAATGCCTCGCAGTAAAAAAAAAATCCTGAAGTTGCAAAAAAGTGTGTTTTGATGCATAAACAGCCGTCTATTTTACCTTGAGGAGGTCCAAGTAAAATATACATTATATGATAGGTTTAAAAGAACAATCAATTTTCTTTTCATTCTGAAAGTTTAAATCAAAGTAATTTTTGTTTAAAGCGAGAAAACAATTTCTGAAGTTGAACTCTCGCACCACAACCCGGCGTCGCTTCTTAGCGCCACTTCGCCGCACAGCACGCCATCTCCGACGATAGCTGACACGATTAGGTCCGAAGAGAGAACGGAGGATGCTGCCGCTTCCTCTTGTCCGTCTTTTTGGCTGCGAGGGGAGAAACGGCGGGCACCGTTTTGACAATCGGAGGTGCCGCTAGTGCGTAACCATAGCAGGCCCGTTGTGCCCTTTGTATCCGAGGGCGGCTCCTCACACTCCGAAACGCGATGCCTAATCGACGGGCGGTATCACCTGACGTGGACTTTTCCTAAAGGGAAACCCGACAATATCGCCGCGAAATCTAGCCGTCACGCATACTGCTGTTAAAAGCAGAACAATGCAGCGACGCAAGAATTTGCCGCTTCAAAACCGATTTAAACACAAACGAGGCGCGAGACTCCAACGGCGCGCATTCGTTAACACCACATCGCCTCGTCGTTCGAGATTGCCCGTTCACGGGGCTTTTCTGTTCCTGTATAAATCATGTCCTGAAGTTGACAATAGAGAGTGATTGCGATGTGTACGTAATAAACAGCAAGCTTACTACTGGATGCTCTGACCCGGCAACGCTAAGCATCTGCTGATATCAAGACAGTGGAAGATCACAGGAGGACACCGCCGCGCAAAACAGTCGAAATAGGAAAATCCATAAAGCAGCATGAGTGGAACAAAGCTTCTTCCCACCAAGATGTACCCGACAACTCGAGGTCCTCCTGTCTATCTGCGTGCGCACATCGTGACACCGTCGCACGCTTTGCCAGGCTCGACGGTGGCGTGCTGTGCAGAGAAGAGGCGCCAGAAACGACGCCAGGTTGCGGCACGATAGCTCAACTACAAAATTATTTTTTCCTCTTTAGAACAAAATTATTTCATTGAAACTTTCAAGAAAAAAAGGCAATAATTTTCTTCTGTAAAAGTCATCATGTCTCGTATTTTTCGTTGGGCCACCTTAACGCAGAATTGACGGCTCTTGCAACGGCAAAACGCAAGTTTGCACAAATTTAGTTGTTTTTCTGCTTGATATTTAATTGTACAACCTGAAACCTTTCTTTTCTTTTTTTCTTTTTTGCAGTATACCTACAGGGCTGTAACAAGAATTTTTACAGTCACCTGCAGCTACGAGATAGCTTGTAGCAAAACTGTCAAAATGCTAAAATTCTCATATATTCCTTATTTTTTTTAATTGCTTCAAGCCAATATTGATGATGCTTATTACATAGCAATCCAAATACCGTGCGGTTTTTAGGCGAAATTATTACGCTGTTCCATAAATATACCTTACTTCTCATGGAGAAGTAAGGTATATTTATGGAGAAGTCCACGTCGCCTGATACCGCCCGTCGTTTTTGGCGTCACGTTTCGGAGTTTGAGGGGCCACGTTCGGGTGCAAAGGACACAACGGGCCTGCTATGGTTACGAACTAGCGGCACCTCCGATTATCAACACGATGTCCGCCGTTTCTCCCCTTTCAGCTGAAAAGACGGACGTGAGGAAGCGGCAGCAACCTCCGTTCTTTCTTTGGACCTAATCGTGTCAGCAATCGTCGGAGGTGGCGTGCTGTACGGCGAAGAGGCGTTAAGAAGCGACGCTGGGTTGCGGTGGGAGAGCTCAACTTCAAAAGTAGTTTTCATGCTTTAAAAAAAATCACTTTGATTAAACGTTCAGAATAAAAAGAAAATTGATTGTTCTTCTAAACCTACCATAAAATATATATTTCACTTGGACCACCCCAAGGTAAAATAGACGGCTGTTTATGCATCAAAACACACTTTTTTGCACTTTCAGAATTTTTTTTTACAGCGAGATATTAATTTGGGCGGTTTAAACATTTTATTTACAAATTATACGATTGTAGGGCTGCCGCTAAAAAGTTCTATTACGTCCCCGGAGCGATTATATATTTTTAATAAAATAACAAATATGTTAAATTTTACAAAAAATGTGTTTCAAATATTTAAATTAAACATAACTGCACAAGCCCAACGACATTGCAAGTCGAGAACCCAGCATATTTAAGAAAACAAAAATATTGTTGGGTGTTTCATAAAAAAGCTGATTTTTCATTAATCATGGGGTGATACCTAGTTTCACGCTATTTGTAAAAGTTCAAACCGCTCTCACGCCATCAAAAAAAAATTTTTCCTCCAAATATTTTAGGGTTTGGCTACGAACCTTGCAACAAAAAGCCATAATTTCTTTTTTTTTTTTTTTTAGAATTCGAAGGTTGTTGATTGCATTGTCTGCGACGTTTGACATGCAGTGACCCACGAACGAAACTGAAGAAAACGAAAACTTAACAATATCAGTAGTAACACCAGTAGAAGAACCAAAGGTCAATAAATAGTTGGTAGCTCTGCGATCGGGTGTTTTTTTTCCTATCCCTATAGTTTAATGTAAGTTCAGCTGGTTTTCCTAAACAGTCAAAGATATCTTCACTAATTACTGCTTTATTAAATACTCTTTATTTACTTGATGTCGATGTACACGCTGTGGGTAGTCGTACCATTCAATGAGACTTTTTAATAAGTAAGCACCATATTATGTTCTTTATTTTTTGTTGCATATGCGTAGATGCACGTTTATGCAAATGTCATGTGTGTGCGTTCTTTTTTTCGTGCTAAGGCCGCTGTTACCTTATATTGGGGACGCTGTAACTCGTCAAGCTGCAGGCCTGCACCTTCTTTCCGTCGTCCATGTAACTAATGCTTTGTTTGTGGCAAAATAGAGTGATTTGATTTATTCGGTTGATTGACATGCTTCTACTGTTACTGTCCTAATACTACGAGATACCAGTATTTTTTGTTTAAAAATTAAAGATCTCATTTTGGAGATAGCTGGACGTGGGAAGTAATAAACGTGGCTGCAGGGCACACCGGAACAGTCAGTTTAACAAATAAAGCTAACCTCGTTTCTAAACAAATATACCCTTATTTGGGGTAGGCTATTTAGAGCATATTTAAGGCATCTGCACCTTCAAAACACTCAGGAATGCGTGACAAACTATATTGGATTACTTAGAATAGCGTAATATCCTACGAGGAACGGTGTTCTAATTGCTGTCTCGTATGAAGTCTTTCATGAAAACGTTGTTTTTTTAACACCTTCGGTTGTGTTTTCCACAAATATAAAGTATCGTCAAAAAAATTTGCAATAATGAAAGTTGTTTGGAAAAGGTACCTTTGCGTTACCCATAACACAAAAAAAAAATGCTGCAATCGAATTCGCGTGGCTTAAATTTAAACAAGGATCGTTTGGCGTGGAATGAATGACCCGGTGTTAAACAACCATCGGCTAATTATTGTAGATACATTTATGATATTAAATTTACTCGTAATAGCTCACTACCCCTATAGATGTACTGTCAGATTTGCTTGGGGAAGGATTATTTTCTTCTGCAGATTGTTGTAACCACTGCATATTCAGCGTTTTACTTTGATCATAAATGACCACTTCGAATATTTGTAGTACCTAAAGCTTTCACTAGAATCGGCCTTTTTGCAAATCGAATCATATGAAAATTCTTTATTTTTTCTCCACTTGAAGAGGGAAAACAAAGAAAAAAAGCAACAAAACAGTTGCTTGACAGGTCTCCATCTTCTCTCAGCAACAGCAGCAGCAGGACAGGACACAAAAAGTTAGCACACAAAAAGACATTGTTTATGTAATTATTCGTTTGTTATAAAACAAAAAAAAAAGAAAAACAATGAAGAATGAAAATCTTCACACGTCATGCACCTGCAAAAAATCAAAACAAATATCTGTTTACTATAGGGAAAAGTGCTATGTTTAATTCCCTCAAACAATTTAAAAGACGGAGAGGAGTATTTTGCAACATCTGGTTTCCATAATTCGTTCTGGAGTGCGGCACTAACCACGTTTCTCCGCTGCGTCTATCATAAATCGGGTCTCTAATTGTAACCTTGGGATATAGACAGAAATACGTTTTCTTTGTGATGAAGTGACTTTTTATAGGTAATGCAAAGTTTGTATTTATAGAAATTTGGAATCTGTACGATATGAAGTTTTTTAAACAATGGCATTTAATGAGCATCGAATGCAGTATGGCATATATTACGCACAACTTTTTTTGTAGAATTTTTATTTGCTTAAGATGTGTGCTCGTTGTATTCCCCCAAACCAAAAAGCAGTAAATATAATGCACATCAAATAAAGCTAAGCACACTCACGTATAGGTAAACTTCATACATCATGCTAATTATTATGATATTTATGATGTGTATTCAGAATTTCGGGTTTAATAAAACCATGTTTTTGAATAAAATAGCTATTGGAAGTTAACCTCACGGGCATAAATTCATAAAGAGGTTGCCAAAATTTCGATATTCCTCCTGTTTGCTTTCTCTTCAAGTTACCTGGCGTCTAGTTTAATATCTAATTCGTGCGGATGAGTTATTTTGTAGCTCAGATTTTTGTTTTGTCGGCATACCTTAATAAAATGTTAATTTTTGAAGCGAGTAAGATTGATTGCCTAAGGGAATTCTTTAGTGAGAATTACTGGTATATTCTTTTGACGTTTTGTGCATGTTCCTTTTCTCGTCTATCGTCAATGATATTTCCAAAAATGTGCAACATTAACCAGCTGGCTTGTGTACACACTCTATCTTCTACTAATTCGTACAGATGGACCGGCCATCCTGGACGTACCCTCTCAGTGATCAAGTGTTTCGGTCACTAAGCAGAGACGATGAAGCGAAATACCGACAGTACATTGGACGTGTTATTGAGAATCTGGATCCAAAGTTGAGCAAGCGAAAGGATGAGCTCGCTCAAAGCATATTTGATTACGAGGAGGATATAGCACGTGTTAGTATATGTTTTGAATTACCTAAATCACGGTGCAAACAGAATGACCCGTACATTTTCACACAGCAAGTTGCCTTTTTTCATATGAAAAAAGTAATCTTAAAAAAATATACCACTTTCTTATTTACTGTAAGAGTCACCGACCAGAACCAGCTTTTTATGCTCTTTAAAAAAAAACTTTATTTTTGTGCTACAATTTTTTTAATTCCGAGTCATGTTAACTTTTTGTTTACTGCTAGGGAACTGCAAATATTTTCTGAAACTATTACTGCTAAAAAGAGCCGCGTGTTTAAAATACAGTTAAAGTTTTGTTCTTTCTTAGATTCAAAAATAAAAGAAATCCGAAAACCACTAGCCAGGGATGTGCAAAATACATGCAAATATGTATCGAAATACAAGGTGTCACAAAAGAAAATTTACACGGTCTTTTTTACCGCAAAAATAAACTAGGCATCACAGAACGCTCATTCTCCGCCCAAAAGTAGAGCTAGAGGTCACAACCAGATGCCAAAGTTTCAGCCCCATCCGATAAGTTAATCAAAAGTTATTAGTGATTTTCTGAAAATCTCGATGGGAAAATGGAGCCCATTTTCGCCCGTTTTCGGTTTCTGGTGCCATAGAGCCCCATGTGTTTGAAAACTCCGTCGGCCGCCATTTTCCCCTTGAAATTTTTAGAAAATCATAAATAACTTTTGATTAAGTTATCGGATCGTGCTGAAACTTTGGCATCTGGTAGTGACCTCTAGCATTACCTTTGGGCGGAGAATGAGCGTTCGGCGACGCCTAGTTTATTTTTGCGGTAAAAAAAGACCGTGTAAATTTTCTTTTGGGACACCCTGTACATATACAAAATGCTTCGTCAAGAATGTAATTAATTACAAATCTAATTACATTTCTATAAAAAACATTTAAGTAGAAGATATAAATACAACTAAATGTATTTGATCTCCTCCAAATACTTTTCCAAATACTTTCCTCACAATTTGCGTCAGCAACTTCAGGGCACCTGCAACGGGTTTCTGGGTATTTCACTTTAATTTTGCATCACACACTTAGGAGTTCGTGGGCGAGGCTCTAGTAACGTAAGAGAAATATAATCACAAGAAAATGTAGTCAGCTCGGACGTAATAGGTGAAAAAAGTACAGAGGTTCAAGCAGCTTCTTTTGTCGATTACATTTTGGTATAGACCAACAAAGAACCGAGACGACCAAGACACGCAGCACTAGCTGCTTGTCTTGGTCGTCTCGGTTCTTTGCAACTCGCTCCAGTTATGAAAATCTTGACGACCCGCGCATTTATAATGTTTCAGGCAAAAATATGGATGGAAATCAGACTGGAAAGCATCACAAGTTGTCATAGGCTCTTATTTAGCCAGTCTGCCTGTGACCGTCGATTTCGTCACTATTCTTGCCCTGGACTAGCACCGTAATCACAAAGTAACTAAACGCTTGTGCTTGATTGAGAGACATGGCATTCGACGCAGAACGTAGTTTTCTTCCTGCTCTGGACAGTGCCTTTAAAATAAAGCCGGGGGAGAAAAAGAGAAAAGCCCCATGGCCGAATAAAGGATGGAGACTATATTTTACAACCACATGCAGAAATACAAGAATTGTAACTTTGACAATAACATTCATTTAGCGTAATGGAGGCATGTACCGAGGGCACCCGGCGTGCCCGGGCGCCCGCGGTGAACGAGACGCGAACTGCCGCAGGACTGGACACGTCTTAGGATGAGCGAAATGAGTCGTGACCATAAATTTGAGGGATGTATTTTCACCCACAATATTGTATTTAATTACAGTTGTATTTAAAATACCCATGTTTTAGGATTTAAATGCACACGTCAAATACATTACCCAATTTGTAAATAAATACAAATGCAAAATACACAAAGTATTTGAAACACGTATTTCAAATACTTGTATTTGAAATACTGCTCATCCTGCTACTAGCCTTAGAAATTTTTATTCTTGAGATTAACAAAGCCCCCTAACTGAAAACGAAAAAGCCCAGGACATTTAATATCAGTAGTGCAAGAGGTCAGCGATGTTCGTAAGAAGATGGTACCATATTATCCTGTTTTACCTTAAATTTAACGGAAGGAATGAATCCTTTCACGTATTAAAGTGCCATTTCGCCTGCAGGCCCCTTGTGTTCAACGCAGAATATGTGTCTGATTCTAGCTTTTGACCTTGAAACCACTCCATGTGCTTGCGTCTTATTCAAATGGAGGTACAGACCTATCAATTTACTACACCATCGTGAATTTTTCTTACCAAAGGATTCTAAATATTTAGTAATTTCCGAATTCGAACCTATTCGCAAGTACGTTAAAAAAACCTATGCAATAATGTGTTATTTTTTTAAATTTCTGAGTAAGTTTAGAGGGAAACAAAGCATAGGAATGTGCTAGCCACTGTTTCAGACTGGTGTCTAAATCAAACGCCCAGGGCTTGATAAAAGGAAAGAAATGATGATATCATATAGATATTTAGCCAATTGTGCTCAGGTTTCGAATTGTTTTATTTCTCTTGGTGCATTTGTGTGGTTACTATCTTTAATTCTTAAAAATGTAGTATGAGGGATGAGTTATAATCTAAGCGCACTACACGTATTTCAACCACAATTTAGTTTAAAAAATTGTATCCTTACAAAATTATTGAATCGTGTCTCAATTTTCAAGTAGTTATCGTAAAGAGTTCCTATCGGAAGCGTGGTACGTGAAGATACTTAACACAAGAAGCGACACAACAATAATAATAATGCTATTTTTTCAAAAAATAAAAAAGCTGCATGATGCGCCTTGACGAGCCTTCGTCAAGTTCATGTGCCAGCAGTAGCAGAAAACATAAACATATATAATTGCATAAAATCACAATACCCAGCAACAACCCATAAACTATTCAAAGATAAACATAAGAAAAACTGCGCACACCAAGATGCACATATGCACAGTATATTTCTGTGCAACGAAATGGTAATATATTTATTGCAATCAATGGTTTCAAGAGTCATCATTATGCAACTAATATAAGTCATTATTGAAACGAAATTCTCACAGATCTTAAACTGATGAAATAGGAAGAGATATGTTTTGGCTCTAAGGAAGTTGAGTAATTTAGAATGTGTACTTGTCAACATTTGTTCGATTACGAGTAGTCGTACGTTGTTCTGTAGTTTTTGATCTACCAATACTCCTTTTTTTCGGTGCCTTAAGGTGGCATTCTTGGTCTTGGGCTACGCAAGTTCAAGAAAAATATAAAAATTTGTTTGCATGTATGATTTATAGATTCAACCCGGGAGGAATAAGATAAAATGAAACAAATGGTTTGCATTAAGACGTCGTTTTATCTTTTTTCAAGATTCCAACTAAATAATTATTAATAAATGTGTAAAATAGTGCAAGGTACTGAAAGTATTATACCTTCGTAAAATATTCGTCAACGTAGGTTAGCATATGAGCATGACATTATTTACGTGTAATCAGTAACAAGTGACATTGCGGGCGAGCTGGTGTATACTTACCATTTTCGTAAACCACCTGAATATGGACAGGCAGCGAGGAGAATCCAAAGTAGAAATGAAAAAAAAGAACAGAATGACAGAACACGACGTCTCAGTTGAGAAGCTGCCTTTTGTCATTATGCTCCATGCCTTCCTCCTTTGAATTCTTCTCTCAAGAACAAATCAAAACTATTTTCTGCTCATCATTGTAATATTGGTTAGTTTTTAAAACGAAATATATAGTATTAAGAGCGCCATCACGCCTGACTTCCAGCACTGTTCAAACCATTAGACATAACCTGTCCATTGTCGAGCATTTCATTCGTTACGAGCATGGTCTTCCCGTTTATGCAATAAATCGCGCTCTCAAAGCACAAGCTAAAAAAGAACGGTCAGTCATAGGCAGACACGGATACTCTGCGTGCACCGATACACAACACCTAGGCGTGTAGTCTCCAAGCGCGAATAAAAAATTTGGCCCTTCGCTAACCGAACTATAACATGGTATACACGCATATTAATTTCTGCGCAGACCCTAAAAAATTACTGAAGGTTAGCTGCCTTATTTTTATTCCAATATCTTACAGATCACCACAAGCATCTCAGAAGGTCCCATGTTGACCAGCCTTAGAGACTTGAACGCGCAAATTCATCGGGTAAGAGTTCGCAATACAATATGAGTAAAATTCCGTTCACTTCATTTTTACACTGACGCGGTTTCTTTTTACTTTTTTTTCCTCGCGGTATATAAAATGTTATACGTGTACACAAATTGTGATGAACGCTTGTGCCTTTAGTATTCGGTGGAATCTATCTTAAAAGCAAGAGCCTCTTATTGAAATTTCAAGATTACAACCAAGGAAAGTAGTCGTTAAACGCACAAAAAAGGGAGGCCTAACCATAAATTATTTTGTGGTATTTTCAAGATATAGATTTTCAACTATTTAGTGGCTTACTGTAGCTTTTTAGCTTAATCTGGGCGTATATAAACGTTTGGTTTTTCGTGGTGGGTTAATGATCTTCACAGCCTAAAACGAACTGTTTTTTATTTAGGATGCTCTTGGTAATGGAGTTTATTATTTATTGCCCTTAGGAGGTAGACTTTAAGGAGTTGATTACGCACCTGTTTTCTACTGCGAAGACAAAACGGAGGCTTGCTGATTCACAAAGTGTTATCTTGTGGGCGAAGGGGTACTACAAGGAGCTTGTCGAGCTCATCAACGACAACGAACCGTAAAATATTTCATCTTACTTCATTCGAAATTGTTGGTTACACAATGTATAGGGTTATTACTTTCTACTGATAAAAATTATACAAACGACTAATACCATTAGAAAAAACAAATACTTTATAATTAAGAAGTTAGAAATTACAAACAAATAGCCATGTTTATGTTATTACATTGTAAAGCTCGAGGCCAATGGCAGGGGTCAAAACATTTGGGCCCGAACGCGCTTCTTCCGCACAAGGGGGAAATATACAAGGTTTCCACTGGAAACAAAATGTGTACTCGTTTTTCACAGCAGATTGACACCCAGCCCAACGCCGCATTGTTTCATCCCGGCCCAAAGAAAATCGTGGATACTCGTTCAATAGATTGGCTTAAGATCAGCTTGAAGAACCTCCAGGGTCTGATGTCCTTACCCGATTTTCTCTTTGATGATGCGCTATACATGGATTTTCCGTGCTGCACAAGCGCCCCGCAACCTATATGCCCCACCCGGCTTTAATGACTGTGTGCGAACGTTCTGGCCTTGATCTTGTATAGAAACTTATAGTCCCCAATCAGGAGACTAGCGGGCCTGTAGTGCTTCACTGCCGAGTCGGCGCTGTCGCTTATCTTTTACAGGGACATTTGTAAGTGTGAACTTTCCCCTTAAAAATAATAATCGTCCTTCGCTAAAAATGAAAAAAAAAGCAAAGTTTAGAGTTATGAGCATGGACACGCAGGCAGAGCACGCTTTACAAAGAAACGAGCGCGTACCGGAGGTCAGGCGTTTGAAAGAGACGCCGTTGTCACTTCGCCAGTCACTGTCGACCAAACACCTTTGTGTCGAAGCATGCGCACGACAATCCGAAAACAACTTGCACGCCGTATAGCGAAAGCTCGCAAAACGCGTAGAGGGTCCCAACATCGCGACTTTAAGTCACGCCGCGGGAGCGGAGAGATGCACCACGGTCCTGGTGCCCGCGGTTCTAATCCCCACGAACCCCACGCGACTGTTTTATGGTCCATTAGTTTTCTGCACTTTATGCGCTCGAGGCGGTTCGTTCGTTTTCCAAAAAGTCGAAGCCTGTTGCCTTTATTAAACAGCTGAATCCTCCCAGCACGGCTGACCGTACAAGCGAGTCCAGAAACGGGCGCTGGTTGGGCTTTCGTGCTTTCTGTCAATGCCTTTCCTTTCACTCCCCAACACTCTCCTCGCTAGCGAACCCCCGTCTTCTGTTATCCTGCTTAAAGTGCGAAGGCCACTACATCGCCATCCCAAGCAGCATGAGATTTGGCCAAGCATTGGCCAATGGCTGGTGATGGTCTTTTGGTCAATGTCCAAAGATTGGCCATTCATCGGCAAATGCTTGGCCGATGGCTACATGACCAGTGGCAATTGGCTATTGGCCGAAAAAAGGCCAGTCATCGCTCAATGGCTGGCAATTTTCTGGCCACTGGGCAAAGGACCATCGCCAGCCATCGGCCAATTATCGGCCAAATGTGTGCTGCTTAGAATTCTCTCTATGCATTTCTCGCTTTGACGGGACGGGAGCAATTATAACCAGGAATTTCAGTAATTCGTCACTGAAAAAGTAATGGTATTCCATTACAAATTGGATTTTGAAAAAGTAACGAATTAATTATTAATTTACAAGAGAACTGATGAATTGCAAGTAGTTCCGTTACTTGTAACGGATTACTTCCAAGTCTGGCGCCACCCGCTTCTTCTTGCTTCCGGTCGCCCGCTCGCTTGGCGCCCGGTCGCTGGGACGGCTCGGTTGGCTGGGGGGATGGAATGCATTCAGTGCGTGATCTACTGTGGTTTGCGCGAGACTTGGTATCTTTGCCGGCGGCTTACCACGCGGTTCGTCAGTGGTCGTACCCGGAGAGTGAGCAGGCGAGATCCAGAATCTCGCAACGTGCTATCGGTACGCCAGAGAGCCCGCCTCAATCGGATCTCGTGGACGAGCGCTTGGCATCCGCTCGACTCTATTAGCCTTTCGCGTCAAGATGGGGTGGCCGAAGCTTACGCCGGAATAAGCAGAGACTGCCCTACGGCGTGAACGAGCCTGTGAGAGGGCAAAAAGTTGATGTGTAGGCACCAGCTGACATTGTCCATTCCAATCACGTCATGTAAATGTCGATGCGTTATTTTCATTATTTTCTTATTTTTAGCATTAATTTTACACGGCGCTCCTTACGAGCGCAAAGGCGATTCACTGCGCCAATATTTTCTGCCATTTCGTGCGATGGAAATTGCATTTCTGTAATCAAAACGAGGACGAGTTTTGGGCATGCACGTCACTCGGTGATTGTGTCGAGACGTTGCTCGATCAATCGGAGCAGTAAAACTAAAATTAAAATTTCCTTATTTATGTCTCATGTAGAGCCAATCGTTTCTGTTTTGCACGGATATCTGTATGGGTTGCAGAAAATGCTCAGTACGCTTTATTTCGTTTTTATAGAAGGTCAATATAGGGCAGACTAACCTCAAGTTATAAGTCACTGATCTGCAGAATTAGCAAAAAGAAAAATGCCGAAAACATACCCGTTTTCCCAGAATATTAAGTCTCAGAAGCGAAGCCTAATGAGATATTTGTGTACGTCTGCACTTTTCGCCAGCGTCATCACATAAACGGTTTTCTATTAAACTTAATCTAAAATTCAGAAAACATTAGAGTTGTCTTAAAGATTGAAATTTGATACTTCTATGAACCGCTGTCTAAACGTACTTTTGTTCAAACTCCCTCATTCCTGTCCTAGGAGTGACCCACGGCCTCGACGCGTTGTGCGGCGAGGCTGTTTGATGGGGTTTGGAGGATTTCGTACACCTGCAACTATACCTTGTTAAAAGTTGAAACGATTTAAGAGCCGAAATAAAGTTCTTTTCAGTGGACGCTACAAATAGGAAACCGGCCCCCTGAGAAACTCGGAGGAGTGAGTGTTCCGTGCTCGAAGGCATGCTGCCGTTTGACATACAGCTTTTGGTAAATGGCAGGTTGTCATGAATGTCATGAAATACCATCACAACTTTTGACCAGTATGACAGAATGTATTTAACTATGTCTAGACAAACCGCACATGCGGCTGCTTTTTCGGAAAACAGCGTGCATGACGCTGTAACGTTACCATCGATATTTTCATTTACCTTTAGTAGGCATTGATGATCGTTTTAATTATAAGGGCGCACGCCTGTTTGCAAGACAGTTTCTTTTTAGAGCGCAGCTCTTAGGTGCCCGTTTCCGGCCTGAGCGGCGTCGGCGTAGCCGTCGGCGTAACATTGCGGTACATTACAAATAAATTTCCCTGCTAAATCTAGTGGAAAATGTTTCCCGCTACATTTAGCAGAAAATTTTCCCCGCTAAATTTAGCGGAAAATTTTCCCCGCTTTCCCCTCTAAATTTAGCGGAAAAGTTTCCCAGATCAATCTAGAGGAAAAATATCCCGCAAAAATCTAGCGAAACATTTCCCCGCTAGATCTAGCGGAAAAACTTCCCCGCTAAATCTAGCGGAAAAAGTTTTCTGGGGGGTCACGTGACCTGGACCCCCCCAGGGCACGTGACACCCCCCCCCCCCCCTGAAGTCACATGCCCCCCCCCCCCCTCAGTACCCTTCCCTACTCCTCCTCAAGAACTGCGCGCTAGTTCGGCGTTACAGAGTTCCACTTTTTTTAGAAAGCAGTCTTCAGAAAATATTTTCTAGTGAACATAGTTACAGTTCCGCACAGCGCACTATATTTTCTACTACTAATCTTTCGCTTTTTATCTAGTTTGACCCTTTTTATTACTATAATATGCAAAAAACTGTTAAAGTTCTTGACAAAAAGATGGTTCACGCGTTTAAGTATCCTTGAGCTTTATTATCTTGCTCTTATTCCGACTTCCTCTATCAATAAATGTTACCGTAGTCATTCAATTTCTTCTTCTGTATCATATTAAAAATTAAGCTTAGTGGCTATAGCGCTAGCACAAAATACTGGTCCAGTCTGTATAATCATGTATTGTAATTGAACTACGAAACGTAGAATGAAGCACGGTAGAAAAATTGGTCGTTGCCAGGCACGCAGCCAGGATTTTGTTTCGGGGGGGGGGGGGGGGGGGGGGGGGGGAGGAGGCCGCCCGTGACAAAATGCTGTATGAGGGGGAGGGGGAGAGGAGACCCCCAGCAAAATGGAAGATGTCGGGGGGGGGGGGGGGGAGTTGGGCCCCATGGGCCTCCCCCCTGGCTACGTGCCTGGTCGTTGCAGAAAATTTACAATGCTGCATAAACTCCCGTAGAACTACGGCTGCAGCTGAAGAAACGTCCACGGGCTGATAGCTGGGCTAGTTGGTAATCGTTGTACATAGTGGAATAAAACAGCGCAAAGATACAACAAGGAAGAGACAATCCAGACAGGTTTGTCTCTTCCTTTTTGTATCTTTGCGCTGTTTTATTCCATTATGTCCACGGGCTTCTGACGCGTGGCGATGTCGGGAGCGCAAGAAGCGAATGCCCGTGGCTCCAAGTCCGGTGAACACAACTGTACAGCATTCTCTCCACCATCATCAAGGCGCATGTGCGAGACTGCGTGCGATCGCTTTTAACGCTTCGCCGAGTCGCGCGAAAGTCTCGCGTGAACTGCACATGCCACAGAGCACGCGAGCTCGGGTGCTGTCCAGGGGCCCGAAACTCGTCAAACACAAAGTTGGAGCCGAAAGTTCGCGGAGCGCGTTCGTTGGACGCTGGGGAAAAAAACTGCGAGGTCATCGTCTTGATAGTCCGATCGGTGCGCTCCGTGAACTTCGTCCCCAACTTTGTGTTTGACGAGCTTAAAGCCCCTGAGCGATGAGCGAAGATCGTGGAATCACGACTGCCGGAGCGGCGTTGCGGGAGCGCGTCGCGTTGAATCGAACAGACGCAGATTGGGAGAGTTCGAAACTCTTTCAAGATGCCGACAATCCAGCAACCACTGCTGGAAGTAAGGCAACCCGAATGTGGCACCTTGCCTCCGCCATTTTGTGTTGTCGAATTTTGAACCCTCTCTTGATTTGCCACCCGAGGTACGCTGCGACCCGCCGTTGTAAAAAAAAAAAAGTGTTTATCGCTAATGTCAGTGTTTTTGGCACTGCAGACGTAGTCGCCAGCTCAATCTCACTTACCTGCTACGATCTTTGAAAATTATATGAGTTTAAACTTATTCCTCTTTTGTGAAAAGGTGAACTGTGAATACTGTGAATATGAGGTCTCAATAATCACCACCGCTAAAATTCAGTGCCGTGACGGGAGGCATCTCGAAGAAGCGCTGCGAACGCTTGCGCTGAATCGCCAAATTATGTTTTGTTTGAGAAAACATAATTATTGCTTAAAACCAAAAGCAATAAAGCTTATTTGTAAGTTATGTTTGTACAGATCCGTAAAGGATGGCCAGTGCTTGAATATAGTGACTAATTGCAGCCATAACACAATGTCAGACTACAAGAAGTTGTGTTTATAAAGCAACTACTAACCGCACACTTGGACTAGCGCACGTATGTACAGTGGCCAGAAGCAAAATCGTCCATTTCATGTTATCGTAAAGTCCGCTTGTTCTAGCGGGCGACAGGCTCCGCCCATCGGCCAAACTCTCCCGGTATATAAGGTTCTGAGCAGACGAGCAAGCCAGCAGATAAGGAAGGAAGCACGTGGGTACTGCGCGGTTCTCGGCAGTAGGCGGCGCGCCGTCACAAAGGGCGGCGATGCGATCTGGACGGCGCTCCGATGATATCTGTGTGACGTCACTTCCGTTACCAAATATTCGTTCCATCGACATCCCAACTTTGCATCGCCTTCCAAGCGCGGAGAAAGACGTAGTTCCACATCTAAAACACTTCAAAGCTCCTTATTTCTGCGACTCGAACTTAATTTCCAAAACACACTTCCGGCCGCCATGACAGCGAGCAGGGAACACTTTTGGTTCTGGTATTTATTGCATGTTTCTAAAGAACAACATCACCGCTATGATTTTTGTGTTCCATAATTAAATCGGTCGTTTGTTATGTTTTCCCGTCCACTGGCTTCTTGAAGTGCTGTAATGATTCGTAATCGACCGGGGAACTCTGCTATGGCAGATGTCCGCGAAGTAGAAGATGCGGCGAGCCGCGGCCTTCGAGCGCGGACAGCCTCCGTCGTTCACGCGAGCGTCGATTTGACGCTCAGCACTGGGTCCGCATCATCACTTAGTTCTGAAATTCAAAAATGCACAAATCCGACTCTTCCGGACATAAAAAGAAACTTGATCGAAGGAATCACACCTGAGTTCTTGTGCAAAAAAAAAGATTGGTTGAATGTTTAATTAATATTCGACACTTTCGGACATTCAGACGTCGAAAAATATAACTTTATATTTTAACCTAAACCCGGGATTTCATAACACACACTAACTTGGAACTGCATAAAATATTATTTAACGAAAACAAAAGTTTTTAATTTTTTTGTTTTATTTTATAGCTGAGTTTTTGCTGCGTTAATTTTTAAGTGCATGTGCGCTTGTGAACAAACGGTTTATGGGATAGTCCTTAACAAACTCTAGCCAAAACCAACGAACTAACTAAAAAAATAAAAGAAACGTAAATTTTGAGAGTTTGTATTAGCAGGAGAGATTAGAATGGGACTGATCCTTTCACATTGAACCGACCCTGAGGTTCGATTCTACGTAAATTTCAGGCACGTCAATTTCAAAGTTGGAGAGTCCGTTTTTTCTTTTCACGTGAAATAGAGTGTTTGTTTGTGAAACGATTAAAGTAAGACGTGAAGCATAAAACTACTGGTACAATTATTTCGATTTCATTATTCACCCACGTTGTGTAATACAATTACGCTAGTGTATGACTCCCCAAACAGAACAGTTTGAACGAATTGGATATCTAACCCAGACGTTTCCCGCGATTTTTTCTTACTTTACCGCCTGAATTCTAGAATAAAAAGTAGCCCTTTTACGTCAAGTCGTCAGCTGTATTCATGTGAATATCATTCAGGGGATCGCCGCGGCAGGTCGACGTTGTCGCAATCCCTATTCCACTTGTCGTCGAAAACGCCCCGCTAGATTTTCTTCCGGTACGAACGAACACGAGTGCCACGATCCTTCAAACCGTCTTCAACAATGTCCGACAGGCGTAGCGTAGTATTGCTTTGGCCAGCTTCAACACTCACGACAACGACGCGCAGTTGACGAAGCAATAATGTGCTCACACACGCTCTCCCGTGCACGAAACAAGCGAAACAATTACATCCTTCGGTTGATTTGTGGGCGACTGACTTCGTTGAATGTCTCACGTGTACACAAGTTTCCTCTGGGCCGTCAGGTAGGGCCCCGCAACTTTAGCCACGGAGAAAAAATAAAACTTGATGCGGTGCTCTTTCATGGCGCAGTGTGAACACAAATGCTCATCGATCTATCTTACGTCCGGCTATTGACATAGTTTTTTTTGTTTCCGCAGTGAAAACCTTAAGTCGCGTTGGTCATACTTGCTCATTCAAACATACTCAAGAAGCTGGTCAACTGGAAGTATTCTATACACCCGGTAGTTCCACCATTGCTTGTTTATGTCTACCTTGAAATACCAAGTACACAACATAAAAGTAAACACGGTCATAGTCACATTCAACACGTCCCATGCTCCCATACCTAATCTAAATAGCTTCTTTCTCGCATAAACCGAGTACAAAAAACCGTAAGTTACACGGGAAACAAGTAATGAGTGCCTTCATATTGTTGGCTTCGAACGCGAATAGAATTAAGATTGAAGGCAAAAATATGAGCCCTTAACTGCTGAGATGGTACTTTTTTCATAGCAGCAGATATTGATGTGGCGCCACGGAGACAGTTATCTTTACTCGGACGTCATATTCCCACAGCGAACTCTACATAACAGACATTCAAAACCGGCCATCGTTACAGAGACAAGGGAGTACTACGGATATTTAGCTACGACTAAGTTAATCTGCTTAAATGTTCCAGCAGACATTACTATAAAAATACTAAAAAAGGCATGACTAAGGCACGGTCTGACCTTTTACCATCAAAAAGTGAAACTATTCAATGGGTATTCATTGTTGGCGTGCAGGAAGGATCTCTTCAACTACCTCGGGTGGAAGTTCCTATCTTTACTCGTGAAGTATTCGAGGTCGGATCTGTTCTCGGACTACACATCTTTTCTAGGGTCGGTAGACCCATCATATAAGCCACCGCAACCGCCTTTCACAAGTACCTGCATCAGGGACCTCATGGACAACATGAAATACGCTTTCGGCAGAATGTATGTAAACAACTTTTTCAAGGACGCGCATGTCCTCAGAGAAGTGAGTAGAAATATTGATATTTTGGTGAACCTCTATAAACAGATACATATATATTGCCGAGGAAGCAGTAAAATATTTTTGTGTAGTATTCTCTACTTGCTTTTGAAAACTACATATTATTGCATTTATGTGCAAAGTGACATGGCCTGCAAATGGCTATCAAAATTCGTAATAAATATGTTCTAATGGTTTACCCTTGGAAAGCCGAATAATATATACAACGCAAGTATACCACAAAGAAAATAATATTATTCAAAATATTAAAAGGCTTAACTTACTGTAATTCCGTTTTAATGATTTCACTTACGAAAACCACGATAATCTAATTAGTTCAGCGTCTGGTGAGTTTTTCATGTGGTTTCAAAACTTTCTGGAGTCCTAAGCCGCGCATTGCGCGCTTAAAGAATGGTCTTCAATTTATATTGACGTTTTTAGCGAATAATCGCCGGACTCGTACAAATTTCAACGTGCTCTGTATACGCGCCTGCGAGCTAATTTAGGCATCTTCCGTGGACTTTGCCGTAATCAAACGTTAAACTTCGAGATAATAGATCACGTTAGTTGGTTTGCAAATTAATTAAGGAGGCTATAGATTTTCTAAACCTCTCTTTTTTGAAATATAAGGAGGCAGGCGCTAGCAAAATATGTGGAACGAAAATTAAATTAGTTTCTCGTCCTCTAAGTGCGTGTAAAGGCACGTCATTTTTGTCATTGTGCCCTTAGCATATTTCACAAATCGCTCAATTCGTGTTCGAAATCACAATTAAGACGTCTCTAAACATTGTGCTACCAGGTAATTTGAAGGCACTCAGCACTGACTTGCTTGCTTGTTGAAATTTGATATTTTCTAGATAAAAGATGTTACGAGTGCTCTTGAAGAAGCGCTAAAAAAGATGGTCAACAAAAGAACGTGGCTGGACACTGCAACTAAGACAGCGGCTCTCTCGAAGGTATAGGCTTGTCCCTTTGAGCTTTTCAATTAACCGCTGCAATACTAAATGCTAGTAATGGTTGATTTTATTTTATATTTTTTTCAGGTGGGAACAATGCTGAAAATGATAGGCTATCCAGGGTGGATAATGGAGCCTTCTCAGGTTGAAGCACTGTTTACTCACGTGAGGATATTCCAAGAGAATTACTTATGTTTCAAGACAACTATCTAGTGTGCGGGAAGCTGCTTGGGTTTTCTATGCATTAACGAAGGAGTTCATACTTTAAATCTCTGTAAGTATATTACATATTAGATTATGAGATTAAATTTATCTAGCTCATTACTCTGCTTTAGCTAAATGGCCAGACTGATTGGTGGATAGGTTTCCCGAACTCGCTAGATGTCTGTCACTATTCTTGCGTTAGTAGGTTCTTGAATAGAACGGGTCATTCGTTTAAACCATAAAAGGACACGGAAATGAAGAAAAAACGTTTTTCTTAAGCATAAATGGGTCACCTATTTTTTTAATAAATTTTCCAGGACGAAACTATTTTTCAATATTTACGCCGTTAAAAGCAATTTAGCTGGAGGTCACGGCACGTTCTAAGCCTCGCCCAAAGATCAGTGGCCCCGCCCATTACTACTGGATTGGCTTGGCTCTTCGGCCGAACACGCCCGGAAGCCTATTGTCTCCCTTTCGCTACATCCGGTGCGTCTAGTCTGGAAGTCTGACACCACATGCAACTTGTGCAAGCAGACACGCGGCAGCCTCCGCCATCGTCTGCTGTTCCACCGCCATCTATCGACGTCTCCTATGCCCAGATGCGAACATAAAGGCTGTATTTCAAATCTTACCCACATGGATCCGAGTTACTCTGGCGGGTCATGTCACGTGACAACACAGATTGAAAAACGTTGGATGCGGGTAGGTTTTAGAACGCCAAGGTACAAAACACTTACCCTGGTGTAAGATCAAGTAAATTTTGGAACACGGTCGAAAGCTGCGCGTCAATCTCCGCTTTCTCCTTCGTCCCTCCGCTATACCACCACTGTCTAAAAGCTTCTGCAACGCTTGCAAGATGTGACCATGAAAGCGGTGTTCTAGCGTTCCATCATGCACGAACCACGGTCCAATACAAGCGTCTGCCAGCGTGTGCCAATGTGATGTAGGAAGCGACCGAGAGGACTAAAAAAATCAACAAACTAGATACGCAGTCCTTCCATCTTTTCTGTTCTTGATATACTTTTCTTATGGCATCCGCGAGCAAGGTAGGTGAGCGTCATTGACAGGCCTGGTACACTGCAAACATCGACAGCTACTTTCTTTTCGAATCGAAATGACGGGAACAAACCTGAACAAACTTAATGCGAGCCTAGGCTTACGCCAGCCCCGCTACGAACCCAAGCACCCGCACAGCGCTTCGGAGGGCGCGTAATTATGATTATTTGTTTCTTATTCAACCAAAGAATGCATTTTTTGTTTTGTTTCTAAGGTCCCAGTATTCAAAGCAAAAGAGTTATATGTGACCATGATGACATACGTTATTACGAACAATATGGATATTAACTTGGAGAAGATATCAAACCCTGTAGACAAAAACAAAGAGTAAGTGTGGAATTGTCCAATCGGCTCAACTAATTAGATATAGCGAAGTATCAATACGTTTCTAATTTTTATTATGCTCCCCTTAATTTGGGTATATTTGTTTTATAAAGTAATAAGCGAATGAACATTGATCGTAAAACACAATATGTGGCTGCGTCACTCCACAAATGTGTACAAAATTCTCCCTCTCGTGCTATCACTTATATTAATGCATGTTTTTATTGACAGTTATTAAATAAGATTACGAGGACACTTGATTGTAATCTAGCTATACAGCACTGCATTTCACAAAGGGCTCAATTAATGTCTTTTTTTGCTCACACACTATATTCTCTGGTGACAAAATAATTATATATTTTTTTGTTATTTTTTTAATGACATGCCTCAGGCATTTAAGTAGAACTCTATAAGTGGGGGTACAGAACACCATACAGTAACCACCAGGAATACATGCAGCACATTTCATCAGCTATCTTGAGCTCTAAAAAAGAAGCGCATTAAAGATAAACACAAAGGAAAATTGAGAACATTGTAACCATAAGGGTTCGATTTGTGTTTTTCAATCATAAAGCGAACCCCGGAACTGAAGAGGAATTTTGAATGCTTGGTCGTCTAAACGTTTAATAAAACCATTTGCAAGAAAAATATCACCAGCAAGGGTGATCCAATTATATATATTACGCGGAAAGAAGGAACAGTTGAAGATGTTATTTTTAGGGAACATTAGCATGATGAAATACTAATGGTGATGTCTAGTTTCATGGAAGATGATGGGATAAAAATCAAATAAACACTTGAATGCATACAGAGCGTGGGGTGAGAAAGTAAAAACACATGTTTCAATTTTTTTCTTTTTCAATGCTCTTCGAGGGAGTTTATGTTGTCCGCTCTAATTAATGACGACGGGGATTATAATCTCTTGCGAATTTCATAAATAAAACGAAGAGCTCTCTGCACCATCTCAAGTTCAAATATATACATTTTTGTGCTCTGGTCACAGACTTTGCAGGCATATTTTGATTTCAATCGAAGTGATGCATGAAGTGTAATGAGAATGGGTAGACTGTTAAGTTCCCGATTTCGCAGACCTGGTTTGCGAAAAGCGGATGGACTGCCGTGCTGATTGTGTTGGGACCAGGGGGTATCATTTGAAATAGTTACTCCAAAGTATTTGTACTTCTTCCCCTCAAATATTATAACATTAATTAGGCGGTAAGTAAACGCTGAGGCTGTTTATTGCGTAATCTGGACAGAAACGGACGCCCGTATGTTTATGTAAAAAATACAGCGCATTTTAGCGTTAATTGGGGACTCCAGTGACCTGTAGAGGGCGCCACCACCAAACAAACATGGCGGCTGAGCCCAGGTCGCGTCGGCTCGGCCGAGCCGCCCGAACAGTTGGTGCATTCAATCTAACAGATTTTATTTTGTTTAATGCCCAATTTTATTATATATGAAGTGCGACGGTTAAGTGTAGCCGGTGCACATAACCTAGCAAGGCATAGTTCTGTTTTCCCGGTGTTTTTTGTTCTTTTTCATGTCAAACTTTCGTTTCGGAGATTTCGTTCAAAACAGAAACTATGGGCTCCGGAGAGACGTTAATATACCGATCAGTCTTGATCATGTAAGGAAAGCGGCATGACTACAGAATTGTTCCACCGATAGTAATTTTCAGCTAACTCGCATGCCTCGACCATGCGACTTATATGTCCGAGAAATCTAGCTTTTGTGCTTATCCGCGTTTAAGAAACAGCTCCAGTCGTCTGCTCGGTCAACAACACAGGCTGCAGGAAAATTACAAAAATTAAGTAAGCACTTCTTGAGCCAAGGACCATGTTAACCCGCCGGCGCCCCAGTAAGCAGCTGATACTCGTATTTCAATTCAGGTTTTAGTAGCAATCGAGAAATCATTTTGACGAGCGAGTTATGTATTACATTACGTACTATGTCCCACTAAAGCGATATTAGTATACTCTTGGGGTTGAAATATGAGCTTAGTTGACTAGCTATTAGGTGAACTGCTGAATAAAAGTATATTTGACAGACTGAGATATACTACTTAAACTTAGACAAATGGTTCTAGCCGGCAGCAGGGAGACAAACGGAAGAGAATGTTCATCGGAGATTCACGCAGAACCTCTCTGCATTGAACTTTGCTTCGAATCCTGAACCGAGGAAGTGGGTATTTTTTGTGGCCGGTCAACCTGAGCAATGTAGACGCATATTGCTGCTAGCTTCGACGGGGGTATAATCTAAATATTGGAGGCACGATAGATAAAAATGTCGTGACGGCTTCTAACGTTGCGAAACTCGCCCCCACTTTTTGAAAACAGATAATTTCCGTCATTCATCATTTACAGGGAGCAGGTTTTCCTGAATCAATTAATTGCGAAATAAGCCCAACTCCTTTAGTGTGGTCCAGAGGTTGTTTCGGCGAAAAGCAGCGAAGATGAATAGCCAACGCACCGACCGGCGTGGGTGGCTCAAACTTGACGCTAACCGAACACAACCAAACTCAAGAAAAGCAGCTATCGAACCTTCCCATTCACCTGACTGGAACATTGGTGTTCTCTCCAGTGAAACACCTTGTCTGTCATCCTCAGTTCACTGTTCTGCATCCTTATAAAGAAACCACTTCTAAGTTATCAAGTAGTCGTCACTTTGAATATGATTCGAGACAGACAAGAAATCAAAACGTTTTTCCGTGATTCCTCCCCATCCAAGAAATCGAAAGCAGCCGACCGTGTGTTGTGGAGTAAACGGGCTTTCAAAGACGTGATGAAAGGAAACAATCTACTGAGGCTTCACCACACTAATGAACACTCAGGCAAACTTAAGAAATGTTCGGACCTTCGTCAAATTATATTGTTCGTCACCGCGCCGACAACACGTGTCAGCGAAAGCCACCAGAGACGCGGAGGGGCGCGGAGCGACCTGGTCCGGCTGGTTCCCGGTTTTCCCGCTTGGTAGCGTCCGTTTTGCTGGATTCGCGAATAGACTTTCCCGAAAACACTACTTTCAGATTAAATAAGTACAATTTGAATGCATTGCATATATTGCTATTATTTCGACAAAAACAGTTGACATCCCACATTGTGTTTAAAAATAACGCTTTTGTTTTATATGTATTGTCTTAACAATATTATCAATCATTTCCGATGGCAGTTTTTTTATTTCTTGCTATCATATTTGCGTCAATTTATGCAACCGTTCGATCATGATCATAGGGTTGCGAGATAACGTTTTGTCATCTGTCATTAGGTGGCATAGGGATCCTGCTGATGTCAACGGGGAGTATATTCCACAAACCAATGCAATTGGTAAGCCCTCTAATTTAACATGTGCACTAAGTGCCGGCAAATTAAGTTCAAAAACCGAATTCTGTCGCATATATGCAGACTTTACTTATAATTCTTAGATTGTTTCAGTAATCTTTCTTTGTCGATGTTGAAACAATTCCCCTGCTTCATTTGTTCATTCTAGATGAAAGTATAGTAGCGCAAGCGATCTAGAATATAATACAGATGTATATTTTCAATTTCATGTTTTCTCTAAATAGAACATTGCAACACATTCCTGAAACAGTTAGTGCTGCACAGTCTGATGTTATTCACTCAGTGGTTTTTGCTCTCTCAAGATTTTCTTATCGAAATCTGCGGTTACATGATGATTGTGAAGTCCCGTGTCAGTTGCTGTTCCTTTCGGCTTCCCTAAAAAAACGCATTCGAAGCACGAATCTCGTGGTGACTTGCGTTCGAACCTGTTTGCAGAATGTCTTTTTAGAACTTCTGGGCTTCACTTTTTTGTCATGTAAGGTTTCTAATCCTCCTAAGGAGACCACCGAACCAATGTTGAGGCGCCATTGTTTCATTATATAAAATTTTGCCGCGTTCCACCAACACCTCCTGGATAAGAAAACCTAAGTGCTGAATCGTTTTGCGTCACTAAAAAACACCGTAGGCTAGAAATTTTACACCACAACGGCGTTGGCGACCGGTGGCCTTCTTTACTGACGCAGGAAAATTTATCTTTTAGGCTTTTTTTTATCTAGGAACTGTTGGTTCCACACAAATCGAGGCCATCGCCGACTCGACCAAGATTTTCTCTCTGAGATGTTAGGGCAGAGGAACCCGCTATGGGAAGATGTTAGGGCAGAGTAACCACACCTTCCCTGTATGAAACTGGTTTGGGCACTAGAAGACCCGTGTTTGCAAAGAGTGCAAGACGGTATCCCCCCATTTGCGTCCAGTAGCAACCCCCTCGGTAGACATCAGTTAAGGTGGTAGAGGAAGGATCGTCCTTGGCGCAATCGTGTACTGGCAAGGCCCGTGCTCTACAGACTTAGAACGCTAACCACTCGGTCAGTGTTTTGGAAAAAGCACTTTTCCTTTTTTGGGTCAAGCCGGGAGGTGAGGGTGGGGGTGCCCCTACCGAACGATGCGAGAGCTCCCGTCGAGGGCGAGCTTACCAGGAATGCACCCCATATAGGCACACTAGTCCTGCGGCGGGCACCACGGGCAGTTGGGAGTTCGACTTTGCCCTTAGTAAGTAACTATCTACTCTCACTCCGAAATCCAAGGCGTGCACGCCATAGGAGACAGGAGAGTCATAGTACAAGAATATAATTTTATTTTTTATTATTGTACATGAATAGCGGACGCCCGAAAGAATAAATTATAATAGCTTGACAGAGCCCTTTGCTCCTTCGCATTGTCATAGAGCACATATAACATAGATGCATATCCAGAAACAGCGTAGAAATTAAACACTTCTCAATACGCACATTAAACTGCTTTTTGATATTTAATTTAGGTATGTCTATTGAACTGTTTTCGCATATCTGATTTTGTGATTACAATAGGGTCGATGTATTTGTTTAGGGCAGCTTTCAGCGTAGAACGAAGTTGGTGTTTTAGTGATTGCAAAGAATAATTATTCAGAAAAATGGCACACTTCAAAGTTGTGCCGACCGACTTGGATAGGAAATAGTATGCTCTGTTAGTTCAGTAATAAATAAATATGTGGTTTCACGCCATACCAGATGGCAGTAGCTTAAATAAGAGTCGAAGATGCCTGATATAAAAGCAGTTTAACGCCAATGGGCATTAATGCCGATTACAAAATTTTAGACCAATGACCGTAGACAATCTAGTCAGTAAAAAAGCTACCTGATAATCGCAAGACAAATCTTGAATAAAAATACCAAATAAAATGTTAAAACGATTCAAAATTTTTGTTTTTCAACTTTAAGATGAGGCCGTTTTTGATTGTATTTTTCATTTTATTTTTGGTCCGAATGTGGTTGGTATTCTTTTACTGGTATTGCTTATTGGTGCAATGGCTAAAGCCCGGTATTGCAACACTGTTAATGTCTTAGTTGCGCAGTCTATAAGGTTGTCACCAGTTTTAGCCGACAGTAATATTACCAGCTACGTTTAATTTTGTACAGAAACTGAGAGGCTGACCAGAACATTTTCCCACGGACTGCTGACTAGCTCGCTATTCTCCAACATGCAGGTCGAGAAATAAATAAACCAAGACCTTACAAATCATAGTTTTACAAACAAAATACAAGCAGACCCCTTTCGCGTCGGGAGTCTTAATGGTAAAATAATCTTTATTAACCGTTTTTAACAAACATGCTAGTATAAGCAAGCATGCATTTGTCTCGAAAGCTTTACATTTTTATCTGAAAATAAACTGCAGCATAATGCTAATATTGCCATTTTTATTTTTAAAAAAAACCATAAGCGCGTACTCGTCTAGACAATCTCACACATAACTTGCAATTAAAAACCTTCAAACTAGTTTCAAGAAATAGTTCCAAATGATAATCATAGGATATGTTAAAACTTTTGGTAACATTTGTCACAACATAACTGCATATTGGCCTAAATTTATTAGGATACAGTTACTTGCACCCCTCAAAACTCGACCCAACACAATAAGTTTCTAAAACTACAGTTTCAAAAGAAACTCGTAACTAAAGTAACTAAACACTACTTCATACTGCTCCCGCAAAATAAACACACCGTAAGTGTCGGGTGCGTAGTAGCACCCGAGGAATTGACACACCTCGGGTGCTACTACGCACGCGAGGTGTGTCAATCTTACTTTGTGCGTTGACAACCACTGTTGTCAACACACAAAGTAAGATGCTGCATAACGCGCACAAGTCTGCACGTGCAGCCGCACGTAAGGACTAGCACGCGTCTCGCATGGCAAGCAAGCTCACGATGGTTTGCACCACTTAGAAACCTTCAACTCACTCAATTTATAACAGTAAAGTTCCGACGGATCCTTGTGACTCACATCACAAAAGTAAGAATTATTCCGCAACGTTACAAATGTGTGAAACTTTTTGTATTCGTTTTGTTTACAGAGTTTTTCAGTAAGCTTTATGATGCGCGAGATATCGCGCATTCATAATTGGGCACTTCAAGAGGACGTCCGATTAAATCGCTTTTAGTGTTTGCTCGAGAGTGAGAACGGTGTGATTCTTGCCTAACGTCCAACACAACGTGGTGCCAGCGGCTTGTTACTGCCGTTGCCTTTGAAGGATTGCGGAGCGAGGTTCAGTAAGACGACAACATTCCTATGGCAGAGGACGACTCTAGCAATCAAGAGCACGAGTTTTGAATCGCCATGGCAACTCCACTCTTTACATGCCATTCCCTGGAATAGTTCGACTTTTACAAGTCAGAGGACTGGCCCGGTTTATGCAGTGGTTTGACCGCTTCTGAGCGCCGATTGGACTCAAAGAAAACAGCGGAAACAAATAAGTCAACGCTTGATGTACTGCATGGGGTACAAGAGCTAGACATCTTTATTTGAATCTGATAGGGGAACAACTGCGGCAGTAGGATGTCGTACTAAACGCATAGAAGACCACTTCGTGGTACGAACAAGCACTATTTACAATAGGGCCAAGTTTCCATCCAGGATTTAATGTTCCTCAGAGACATTAGAAGACTTTATAGCAGATCCTTACTTATTGGCTAAGTACTTTCCGCTCCAAAACCTTCATAATTTAAATGATAAAGGACCGCGATCGTAATGGGTGTCCGAGACAGGAAGTTGTTCGAGCGGATGCAACTCGAATTACAGCTGATATTAGAAAAGGGAACCACTATAGCACGATAGTCAGAGACTGAAAAGGCAACAAGCCGACCTCCAAGCCGACGACCGCCTGAAGGAAGTGTCTGTGACACCACGTTCCACGCTCAAGACCTCTGTGACGAGAAGTCCTCCCAAAGAAAACATAGAGAAACGTGACGTCTGTCTGGGCGCAGTCCCCACTCACGTAACAAATGTCCTGCCAAGAACGCAGCCTGTAACAAGTGCAAGAAAACAGGTCGTTTCACAAACGTTTGCCTCAGCACAAAGGCAGCAAGAAAGGTCACAGCCGAAAAGCCAGATTTCTTAGGAGTCAAAGAATTGGCCGAGGAGCATGCGTGAAGGATTGTGTTGACTGTCCGGAACGCACAGATATGGGTTATTATAGACAAAGAAGCTGACATCACTTCGATTACAGAACAATGTAAACAATGTAACAATGTAAATTGGCGAATAAAATAATTTTATATTTGTATTTATTTGCCATTTTGTTTTGGGGTGGCAGGGACAAAAGGTGTATTAAACACCTGACTCAGGTCCCGTACCTCATACAGGTTTCAGAGCGGCGCAGCTCTTGTAACGAACACACAGCATACATACAAATGAAACACAAGAAGATAACAAAAATAACAAGAAATATGTACATTTCTAACGCAATGAAATGTCTTGCAGAATTTTTTCACAAGACTTTATACATGCTTGAAAATATAAACCTTTACTCTTTTTTTAAAGATATTTGTAGATCTTGATTTAGTTGCTATATCAAGAATTTGTGGATGCATATTTAAAAGTTGTGTTAATTGCTGCTTCAATGTTTGTTCCCCATAATTAGTACGTATTTGGCCTCTACCATATTGTCACGGGTGGTGACCAAAAACAATAGATGAACAGGAAGAAATAAACGTTTAATGTGGCGAACTTGTGCCAAAAATAAAAGAGTACAAAAGATAATAACAAAGCGTCGCGGGCGTCGAAGTCGGCGAAACCGCAGGATCGAGCGCTGGGGCGAGACTGACTCCTGCTTGCCAGGCGGAGCCGCTTTTGTACACGCGTTGGCTTCTGGAGCGTTCGATGTAGAAGGTTCGACGCGGAGAACATTCTAACCTCGAATCAGCTAGACGGTTCTCGAATTCACTAGAACATCACATTACAGTGTAAACAAAAATGCGTAGCCGCGGCCAGGAATCGAACCCTGGCCCTTGAA